CCGGCCCGGCCCCGGCCCGGCCTATCCCGGCCTGTGGGGCGGCCCCGGCTCCGCACGCTTAACGGGCCGGACCGAGCCTCCCTGGCTGTGGCTGCTCCGAGCTCGGCGCTGCGGGACGCCAATATTTCTCTTTTTTGTTGTTTTTCCCCTGTTTGCCCCCTTGAGCTGTGCGTGCCCCGCTCTTGCCCCATCGCTCCAGCCCTGGAGGAGGCAGGGAATGAGCAGGGAAAGGTCTGTGCTGCTCAGGGCAGCAGAGATGCCTTGCCCGGGACAAGCCGCATACCTGCAGGGAGAGACTACAAGGGCGTGTAGTGACAGGACGAGGGGAAATGGCTCCAAACTGGGAGTAGGTTGAGATTAGATATCAGGAAGGAATTCACCGTGGGCGTGGTGAGACCCTGGCACAGGTTGTCCGGGGAAGTTCCATCCCTGGAAGCCTGCGAGGCCAAGCTGGACAGGGCTGGGAGCAACCCGGGACAGTGGCAGGTGTCCCTGCCCATGGAATGAGATGATCTTTAAGGTCCCTTCCAACCCGAACCAGTCCGTGATTCCATCCCCGTGAGCCAGGAGCTGACCCACTGCACCCACCTCTCCCCCTGGCAGCCCCACGCCTGCCACACTGTGTGCCCAGCTGTGCCCAGCTGTGTCCAGCTGTGCCAACACAGCAGCCAGGGCACTGCCCAGGCACTTCTCTGCAGCAGCACTTACCCGTGGCCTCCGTCTTCCCAGCAGCTCCTCAACACGTGGCATAACCACAGCTCTCTCCCCCGTTGGGCTTTTAATTACATTATAAAGTTACTCAAGGCTTACACTGGCAGGTCATTAGTTTTCATATGAATTTAATTTAATCATAAACAACTCATCTCACTCCTTAGCGGCTCCTTAAATGTGGCTCTTTTAAATACTATTAACTTTGCTACAGCCACCCCAGAGGATTAATGGAGGTGCAGGCAGCTTGCCAGAAGCTTTACTGCCCCTCCCCAAGGGCTCGTCTTCATCCTCCTCCCCCTCAGCAAAGCCCCAGAGCACGGTGGCCCTGCAGAGGTGGCTGCAGAAGGGTTGCTGGGCTGTCTGAAGGGGACATCAGGCCACTGGTGACCTCCCTGGTTACTGCTGGAGCAGCTGCATGTCACCCCCACTCCTGCCCCAGGCACTGCTCCTCAGTCAGGTGTGTCAGTCAGGTGTGTTTTGAAGGCAGGAGGACGTGGAGGTGAGCTGTGGAATCCTCCCTTCCTTCTGACATTGTGACATCCATGTGGGATGCTGGACCTGCTCATGAAGAGCCTGGGGTAGCACCAACATCTGGAACTGCAGCTCCTGATGTGTGGAGTGTCCAGGCTGGAGCAGGGGAAGTTTTATTAGTTTAAAAGACCTGAAAGATGCACAGATCCTCCAGAGGATGGTGAGGAAAACACCCAAAGCAGCTGGTAAGAGGGGGAGTGTACACTGAGATGTGGAGCAACACAGGAGGCTGATGAAGAGAAATGAAACAATTTCTGCTCTTCACAGGCTGAAAAGAAGAATTAAGGTGGAGAAGCACTTAAGCATCAGCACTGTCTTCCCCCCTGCCCTGCTGAAGGGATCCCAGCGCTCCTGGGCCCCGGCAGCAGCAGGCACTGGCTGCAGCCTCACAGCTAATGAGCACCCAGGAACGAGCAGGGCTTGGACAGAAACACAGCTCAAGGCTGCAAAATGGCTCCTGTGTTTAATTATCAAGTCTAATGAGGGCTGTTGAGAGGAGTGGAGAGTGGCTTTGCATGCTGACCAGATCACCTCTCTGGGGAGAAACGCTGGGAAGGCGCTGTGGAGAGGCAGAGCCTGCCTCGGGCTCTGCTGGGCCTTGGTCATTTATCAAGGAATCTGCCAAGGATTTGTCAGGGAGCCGAAATGAGGGGTTTGTGAGTGCCCTGGGAGTGCTGTGCTTGGCCCACAGCTCTGGGGATGCTGCTGCAGGACAGCAGAGAAGTGGCAGAAAGGTTGGGTGGTGCAGATGCAGCTGAGGGGAGTTTCAGGATAAACATTCATCCCCTGCTGCCCTAACCAGAGCCTGAAGCTTCATGAAGCCAAGTCAAATAAAATAACTACGGTAAAATAACTACACAAGAGAGGTCATGAACTAGACAAGAGTCAGCCTTGTGCACTCTCCCTCGTGTCTGTCAGGATCAGCTGAGCAATTTAAAACAAGAGGGAAAACTACTTCTGGAAAACCATCCCTCAGCTCGGGTGGACAAGTGGGTTTCTGCACGGCTGCAAGTGAGCTCCAGCTGTTTGGGCACAGCTGGGCAGTGCCTGAGGCCTGCCTGGTGTCAGGGAGGGAGTGGAATGGGAAAGCAGTGCCCCACCAGCAGCTCTGACTGCAGAGGGAACGCTGTCTGCAGTGCTCCTGGCACAGAGAGCCCGCTGCTGCTGCTCACTCTTCAGTGTTAGAACTGGGAGATTGTGCCAAGTGCCTGAATGTCCTGGTCCCCCCTGGGTACAGGACAATCCATCTTCCCTCAGCCACCTCACAAAAATCAGTCAAACATGGTGCTCCAACCCCCACAGAGGACAAAGCCCTGCAGCTGGAGCCCAGCCCAGCTGAAATTTCCCGTTTCACCAGGGCTGGATCTCTCTGATTCTCAGCTGCCACCAGGAGTGATTTTCCACTGCTGAGACCCCTGAATTGCAGGGTTTGGGTGGCACTGTGAGCCCTGAATTGCAGGGTTTGGGTGGCACCATCCCAGCCAGGCTGGCAGCAGTGCCCATCCTGCCCAGGGAGAGCAGAACCCACGGCAGGGGATGCTCAGCTTTGGGGGAGCCCTAGGAAACTCCTGGGGACAACGCTGGAAAAGTGCTGAAAGCCCGAGGAGAAGCAGAGATCTGATGGAAGGGGTGCCACAGAGAGTGCCAAATCCAGGGGAAAGAGCCAGGATCTCCAGTCTTGTGCCATCTAGTGAGCGAGAGGAAGAGCAGCAAACACCCAGCTCCTGCCAGCCTGGAAATCGGCTCCAGAGCAGTCCAGGACGGGCTGCCAGGGCAGCGTGTCCCTGAAATCCAGCCCCATCCCAGCCACGAGAGGGGCAACAAACACCAGCAAGGCAGGGCAAACACCTCCAGAGAACTCGGCTTGCTCAGGCCACGGGGAGTTTGGCGTTTGGAGAAGAAACCACTGCAGCAGGAGCACACAGCAGTATTTGGCTTCAGAGGGCTCTCAAAGACTCCTGCAGAGACAAAGGCAGCACAGATGCAGCCGGGGGAGGGAAACACTCAGGCACAAACCCCAAGACTCTCCCTGCCCTGCTTTTCTTCCCCCAGAGAGTTCCATCATCAGCAACTGCAAAAGCCCTTGGGCAGCCCAGAGGAGTTTGGAGCCCAGATGTGACAGGACCTGAACCACAGGGAATGCTGCAGCTGCTGCAGCTCCAGGAACTTCCCAGGGCTGTCAGCTCTGTTCTCAAAAATTAAGAAATATTTTTACTTTAGCTCTGTTTCCAGCATAGCACCCGGATGAAATGGTAGTTAACAGTTATTTCTGGAATATACAGTACTTATAAATACATGTTATATCCTCATGGTTGAATCTCCCCTCAGGCAGTGCCAAGGACGTGCAGATGAAGTTAAATATTCCCAGGAGATCTCCTGCTTCCCTGGGATACACTGAGAGCAGGGTGTCCCAGGAGACAGTGCAGTCCTGCTATACATAAACAAAATGATTAATTACATGTCCTCAGCTACTCCATTCCTCACTACCTTGTGGAGCAAGGAGGCAGGAACCCTCAGGCTTTGCTCACCCTTCTCTCTCTGCTCATTTAAAACCTCACCAGCAACACCTTCCACTCCCAATTGCATCTCCTTTCCAGCATCTCACCTGAGCTCACGTTCTGCACGGTGGACACTGCCAGCAAGGTCGGTTCCTGCACGAAATCCAAGGTTAAACTGGCAGCTCCTGGCACAACCTCCCAAAACAGAGGGTAAACCCACAGCAGCTGCATGGGCTCGTGTCAAAGCTGCCCTAATTTAACGTGCTGTGTCCTTGGCAGAAATCAATGGAAGCAGCAGGGGAAAAGTTCTAACAAAGGGCGCTTGGGCTCTGTGCTGGGAGCCTTTCTGAGCAGCCCAGGGGAGGAGGCACACATTTCCCCCTGCACCCACAGGGCAAAACAGGATTTTTTTTTTCTCCTCCTGAGCAGAGAAGAGCATGAGAAGAGACAAGGAGGCATCCCTAGGTGCTCCTTGTGCCACCAAAACAAGGGAACTGAAGCCTTTGTTGGAGATTCCTGTTCAAGACAGACCAGCTAATTAAAAAAGGAAGAATGATCTGTGCAGAAAAGCTCAGCTCTCAGGGTGCAATACTCACTCCTCACCAAGCAGGGTCAGCCCAGCACCATCTGAACACTGGAGTCATCCTGGGAACGGCTGCTTCGCTTCAGCTCCAGCGCAATTTCAGCTCGGTGGCAAAGATATCCCTGCCCCTGAGCAGAGGGAGAGGCTCCAGCTCGGTTTTAAAGAACTGGAGGCTCAGCCTTGCAAAGTTCAAATGCCACAAGTTTTTCTAAGTCAGTACAACCCAGTGCAGAAGCAAAGCTGAACTGAGGTCACAGCTGGCAACCAGACATAAAATCAGACCATGCCCAAGTTTCTCAGTCTGTTAACTTTATTGGAGAGGTCTTTACATCATGGTGGTGGCCCCACTGAAGATATTTTACAAAATATTTTAAAAACCCTTTATATTCAAAGCCATTTTTAAAATTGTGTCCCATCCTCCCCCGAAAAGCAAGCTGGGTTTAATTGTGGTTCCTTCTGAACAGGGAACAACAAAAAAAAATCCTCTTTTGAAAGGAGGGAAGATGATACCCACGCTGTAAACATGACAGTCAGATGATGTGCCCCCCTCCCAGGCGAGGGACACGGTGCTGGAGCCTGGCACACCCAGGGAGAGAACACAAAACATGAAAACGAGTGGACAGAACCATTCCTACCTCTGTGTTGCTCTCTCCAAGCTGAAACTCAGCTGGACTGGAGGAAGGGATAACTGATTTACCACAGGGGCATTGCATCAGCTGTGAGAACCCCCAGAAATAATCATTGCTGGTGGCTGCAGGATGTCCAGAGAGGGATGATGCTCCCTGGGCTGGTGGAGAAGGCAGCAATGCCCTTCAGCTGAAGGAGGTGACAGCGTGCTGCAGGACAGGCACTGGGCTCTGTGACACAGCCCTTGCACACAACAGCTCCAGCCTGACCCCAGCAGCACCAGAACCAGCACCAGAACCAGCACCAGAATCGCTGGGGCTGCTGTAACACACTCCTAACATGATTGCAAGTCTCCAAGCAGCCCCCTTGTCCCATTTAGGAACATCCCTCTGCATCCATTAACCTTACAGCAGTTCCCAGCCTGGTGTTATCACATCTGAAAGGCACAATCCACACTTCTGGAGACGGGGCAGGAACCCTTCCTATGTTTATTAACAGAGACAGCACTGCTGTGAAACCAGAGGTAACCTGGAATGGCCCAAAGAGTCTTGCTGGCTTGCAGGCAGCTTATAAATATGGATTAGGAGCTCTAAAAGAGTAGGAAATGCACTCCCCAGACACAGAATTCAAGATCTGGGGGCTGCCTGCTTCAGCCCAGTACCTGGAAGTGAGGCACATGACATACCACCTTTCCCTGAAATCCCAGTAAATCAACAGAGGGGGCTTGAAAATAACAACTTGTTTTTCATATATATATATATGTTTTGGTTTTTTTTAAAGCAGAAATATTTTTTCTTGCTAAAGAAACAGGTCTAAAACAAACAATGTTGTCCAGAGAAAGACTTAAGTGCTGCCTTACACCTTTGGGTTGTGTAAAGAAGAAGGTGCTGCCAGTGAGGTCCCTGACCCCCTCCCCAGCTCTGTGCTCCCAGTCCCACACAGCAGCTCAGCCAAGCCCTGCCTTGTGCAGGGGACAGAAAGGACAGAGGACCTGCTCTGCCCTCTGCCCACAACTCCCAGCCAGGAGAACCATCCCAAAAGCTGTGGCACGTCACAAGGAGATAGGACATCAGTGGGCAAGGAGGTGCTGGGAGCAACAAGCCCCCTTTGCATCTCCCTTGTTCCACTTTGCTCCTCCCTAACGATGCTCTGCAGCCATAACTCGCTGGCCAGGCTGGCTCACCCACATGGCCCCATGCAGAAAGGACTTAAAAACCAGCCTCAAGCACCTGTGTGATGATGATGAGAGCTCTGGCAGTGACAGCCTTCAGCCCAAAGGCAGGTGACAGTGACAGACACCTCACCTGTGTCACCTCAGGACTGAGCACTGGCCCCAACCTCTCCCTCTGCACTTCCACTTCCTCAAGAACCAAAGCTGGGCAGTTTAATCACCCCAGAACCCAGCCCCTGATAGCAGAGGGTTAGCTCAGTGCCAGCAGGGCTGTGCTGCCAGTGGCCACAGCAAAGGAAGAGCAGAAGCATCTTTGGGAGGACATCCAGCTCCTTTCTGCACAGTCTGTGTGGGGAGGAGGAGGAAAGAAAAAACCCAGCCCTCCCTAGGCAAAAACCCCCAAATCTCTGTGTCTCTGTGGCAAAAAAAAGCACCACAGTGGAGAGGAGTAAGTCTAAGGCCAAGGTGAGTTTAAGACAATGCCAGAGCTGCTCTGGCCCAGGCCAGGCCTTACAGAGGACTGGGACAGGAGCAGCCACGGTGGAGAGGGAGGTGACAGCCCTGCCCTGAGGGGCTGCCTCTCCTGATCAGAGTGGTCCCTGCTCCAGCCTGAGCTGACAAACCCAGCGAGCACCAGGCTCACCCAGGAAGCATCCAGCCAACAGTGCAAGTACAATCCAGAGGGTCCTGCCCCAATTCCCAGCCCAGAGCTCCTGGGAAAGCCACCCCAAGTTCCAGTCAGCATCCCTCAGCGCAGAGGCCACGTTTATCCCAGGCAGAGCGAGGGGCAGGAGGGTGCTGTGGTGAGGAGGGGCTGCTGAGAGGGCTTTCCGAGTCCAGGCTGTCCCCTGCAGCCCAGGAGGACATGGCCAGTACCAGCTGGTGGCCTGCCAGGTGTTACAAGCTCTCTGAGGAGCTGAAGGGGACAAACTTGGCGTGTTTGGTCGGGGACACAGGCATCTGTCCATCGGCCTCCTCGCTCAGCTTGAAGAACATCTCCTGCTCACGCTTCTTCTGGTTCAGCTCATCCTCCAGGGCCTTGAGCAAAGAGAACAACACAAGAGCTGCATTTGAGATTGTTCTGGGGCTATGGGCACTGTCCAGGAGACCCTGCTCACACCCCACCTTCTTCCGTGGTCTCAGCTTTTCCCGCCACTCCTTCATGTGCTGGTTGTGGTTCTCATCCAGAGACTTCAGCTTCTGGGTTTCGTGCTCGATCAGGAGGTGACACTTCTCATTCTAAAAACACATCACCAAACACAACACACATCAAGCAGGTCAAACAGGGTTTGCCCTGCTCAGAGACACTCAGAGCTCTGAGCTCCACATTTAGACACGACAACAAAAACCTCTCAAGGCAAGAGCAAGGGGACATCAACTCCTGCCAGTCCTCTGCAGCCACTTCTCCAGAGACTGAGACCAGCACAGGCAGCTCTGGGAGACCAAGCCATGAGGGACCAGTACCTGGAGATGCTGGAGCTCGTTGGTGTTGCTCTCACACTGGGCCTGCATGTCCTTCATCTGCGACTCGTGCTTCTGCTGCTGGTGCAGCCGCTCTGCTTTCTGCCTCTTCTCCTCCTGCAGAGCAAACTGGCAGAGAGAAAAGCAGGTGCCCGTGTAGGCAGCATTGCTCTGGTCTCTGGGGCTGGCTGAGAGACCAGCCCAGCTTCCATTATCACACAGGAAAGAAGGAAAAGCCCCAAGAATGCTTCCCAATACAAATCACGATGGAGACAGCACCCAAAACCACCCGTGATACCACAAAACAGAGCCCTCCAACCCATCAGCAAGTTAAAATCTGGGAACAGCTGCATTTCCCCAAATCCCCTTCTCCTCCCAACCAAGCCTCAAACTCCTGGTGCCTTTTCAGGCCCTGACCTGTTTGATCTTCTCCCTCTGCTCGGCGGCGCTGCCGCTGGAGTGGATGTGGAGGCTCTTCTTGTACATGGCCATGCGCGTCTTGCCCTCGCTGCGCTGGATTTTGGGCAGCCGGGCCCTCTCCTGCTGCTGCCGGACCTTCAGCTGCTCCAGCATGCGCTGGTTGTAGCGCTGCATCTGCTCCCTTTCCTGCAGACACACAGGGCTCAGAGGAGCAGGGACACCTCCCCAGAGGCCTGAGGAGAACACAGACAGCTGGAGGGCAGATCTGGGAGTAGCGTGGGAGCGGCTGGTGACACTCGCAAAGGGACAAGAGGGGATGGCACGGATTGAACATGCTGGGAAAGCAGAGGAGAAGGGGCTGGAAATAGTCTTCACATGACCTGCTAAATCAAACTACTAAATCAACCTGCTAAATCTGCAGGGGCAGATTTCCAGAAAAGCCCCTCAAAATTCCCAACTTCTCACACATTAAATTCACACAACACAGAGCACACGTCCCAGACAAGAAGGCTTTATTGCCTTCTCGACACACCAGCTTTATTCTGGTCCTTTCCCACTAATAATGACCAAGCTCTTTAACTCCCAGACCACCCTCAGAATTACAAAATTCATAGAATTACAGAATGTTCTGACTTGGAACTGGACCATCATCGGGTCCAACTCTTAAGTGAATGGCCCATATAGGGATTGAACCACAATCTGGGTGATTTCCCCCTTTTCAGCCTGGCAGAGAAACACCCAGGACGCTTTCCTGACCCACACCAGTGTGGGAAGGTGCAAAGCCTTCACCTTCTCATGCTTCCGAAGCAGCTCGTGCCTCTGGAGGAAATACTGGTCCTTCAGCTGCTGCTTGACGAGCTGGTGCTTCTCCTGCTGCTGACGCTCTTCCAGGTCCCAGATGCAAGCTTCCCGGTCTGTGGGGAGGAGAAGGAGCAGATCACCCACCCTGGCCTCTCATCCTGGTCACACACAGTGTCCCAAGCGACCTCTGCACACAAACAGGGCAGCAGATGTTGGGGGTGATCATTCACCTCCTGTTTTCCAAGAGAAATCGGTTGCAAACCATGTTGGAGCCTGATTTCTTGCAATTATGAAGCCTAATTGGTTCATATTTGTAAAGCACTTTGAAGATTAAAGCACTAAGTATTATTATTGTTAAACATTTAGACAGGACCTGGCAAGGCTGGTTTTTTTCCACATCCCATCCTGCCAGCTTGCAACTCTGTCACAGCATCTGCTGTGTGGGAAGAGGCAGGGCTGGATAAACCCTTGGTTACAGCACTCCTTCCTCTCCCTCACAGCCTTTGCCACCCACCTCTCATCAGCTGCTGCTTCTTGTTGAGGCACTCGCGCTCCTTGTCGCAGATCTCTCTTTTGTTCTGGGCTGTGATGTTCTTCATGGCCTGCTCCAGGTCCTCCTTCTGCTTGGCCAGAAACTCCTGTTCCTGTTTAAAAACCCAGCAGTGCCACCATGAGCCCTCCTTCTGCTGCAGCTTGGGAAGGAGCTGCTGGTGTTTCAGAGCCTGTCTGTCTCTCCAGCAGGAAGGATGCTTTATTCTACTGCACATTTCCCAGCCCTGGAACTGGGGGGGATCTTCCCCAAGCCTCACCATGGTTTGTTTTTTCTGCGTGAAGTCGTCCATCTTCGCCTTCAGGTTCCCCTTGCGCTGTTGCCGTGGCAGCTTCTCAACCTCGTTCTTGACCTGGGAGGAGGAAATTAAATTTCTCTGGGGGTCACTTGAGACCAGGAACAACCCCACCTCGAGACACTGAACAGCTCAGGAATCACCTGGAAGGCCCTCAGGAATCACCCAAACACCTCAAGAAACACCCCAAACACCTCAGGAATCACTCAAAACACCTCAGGAATCACCCAAAATACCTCAGGAATCACCCAAAATACATCAGGAATCACACAAAACACATCAGGAATCACCCAAAAGTACCTCAGGAATCACTAAAACACCTGAGGAATCACCCCAAACACCTCAGGAATCACCCAAAACACCTCAGGAATCACCCAAAACACCTCAGGAATCACCCCAAACACCTCAGGAAACACCCCAAACACCTCAGGAATCACCCCAAACCAGGTGTATCCTCATAAAACACCAACTGCTCTCCCCTCCAGCTCTGCCACGAGAAATGCTGAAGCTCCCCAGGAAGAAAGAGGTGCAGGAAAGCCGCTTCCCTCCCTCCCATCCCCATTTTTACCTCCTTCTTCATCAGCTTGAGCTGCTCCAGGAAGCGGGCGTGGTCGCGCTCCTGCTCCAGACGGATGCGCTTGGCCTCCTCGCGCCGGCGCAGGGAATGATCCTGCTCCATCCTCTCGATCTGCTGCTTCTGCTGCCTCTCCAGGTTCTCCAGCTCCGTGTCATAGAACTTCTTCTTTGCCTGCCCGGGAGAGGAACCAAGGGAACAGCCTCAGCCTCCTCTCCGCTTTCAAAAGGTTAAAAAGAAAAGTGAAAAATAAAAAAAAAGGGGTAGAGGATTGTTCCTGCTTGGATTAAATCTCTTTACAGAGGAGGGAAAATTCCAACCAGCACCTCACAAAGAAGTGCTCCAGCAGTGCCATGGAAAGAGAAGACCTTTAAGGTCCCTTCCAACCCAAACCATTCTGTGATTAACTGCAATATTATTTTATTTCAGCAGAAGGGACCAAGTGTGTGAGCCCAGTTTATTCAATTTACACTCAAAGCCTTGCCAGATTTCCTGCTGTCACACTCAGGTTGTGCTGCTTTCTTATATAAAGATTGGGTTGGTTTTTTTTTTCCCTGTGAATTGCAACAGCACTATGAACTGTTTCTCACACTAGCCATGAACAGACATAAAAAATCATTAAAGAGAGAAAGTCCAAAACAACTGGCAAAGGCTGTCAGTGCTTCCCAAGCTGCAGGGTGCTTAATGCCCACAAAACCTCCATCCATGCTCCAAATCCCAAAGGGATCCTGTGATGCCCAAGGTTGTTGCAACCCAGAGAGCATCCCCGTGTGGGAAACCTGCAGAGGAGCTGGATTCCCAGCTGATTCCCAGGGCTTTTCCCTGCCCTCCTACCATCATCTCCTGCTCGAAGCGCCGCAGCATCTGCTCCAGCTGCAGCTGGTGTTTGCTGTTCAGCTGGGCCTGGTTCCTGTGCTCCTCCTTCTGCAGGAGACGCAGCTCCCGCAGCTCCTGGCGCCTGCAGAGGGGACAGAGGAGCGCGGGGTCAGGCCAGGCCGCTGGGATGTGATGGGCAGAGATGGTCACACCCACAATCAGAGCATTTCAGCAGGGAGTGGAAGCTGCACCTCCAGCCCACAGCAGCCTGCCCCGAGCACAGGCAGGAGGGAGATCCTGATGTGCTCCAGGCGCTGGGACACTGCGGGAAGCTGGATGCTGCTTTATGGGAACAGCTGGAAAATCACCAGCTTCCACAGGTAAGGCCAGTTAGCATCCACAGCTTCCCAAACAAGCCCTGGCAAGGCTCCTGAGGTGATTCTGCAGGCACTGGTGTCCCCCAGCAGCCCAAATACCCATTGTGCCAGCTGGGTTAGTGCTCACTGGGCCTCAAATCCCAAGCTGGACTGCTCTGGCCTGGCCTCTTCGCTCTGTATCCATTCTTACCCACACCTGGGTGGCAAAAAGGGCCATTCTCCCAAATTCTGACCCACCTTTGATGAGACTGCATCCCTCCCTTCATCCAGTTCAGCAGTAAATGAGCTCTGCTAATGAGCTTTTACATAAATCTGATATTCGGGCTGAGGAATAAGGCAGCCCCAGGGACACAAAGTGTTCAGGACAAGTTATCCTCTCAGGGAGTCCCCGAGAGCAGCACCAGGGAGCCTGGAATTGGGCATCAAATGAAACAATTTGTATTTTAATTATTTTAAGGGCCTTTTCATTTCAGCTGCTAGGAACAGCAGCTCCTCTTTCTGAGAATAAGTCAAGGAGATTTAAAAGCTGTAAGATCTGCAAAGGAGTCATCAAGCAGGGAGGATACACCCATGAATATTAAATAATGCTCCAGGAGTTTACAACTCCCTTGGCTTTTCTGTTAACAAAGTCTGAGGAGATTCGAGAACAAAAGGGAGAGGAACATCTTGAGAAGATTTCTGAGCTAATTTCCACTGAGCCAGGCATCTGCAGCCCTGGGGACATGTTCAGTCATCCCCAGAGGACAGGGCCAGACACAGCAAAGCTCCCCTGGTCGCAGTCCTGCTGCGTCTTGAGCTGAATCCCTCCCTCCCCTGTCCAAGTGAGACCAAGCCAGACCACAAGAGGACTTTAGGTATCCCCTGGATTATCTCACAGAGAGGAAATCCCTGCCCTCCCTCCATCCCAGTGCCCCACTTGCCTGAGAAACCTCATTTCTTCATCCTTCTTCTCGTCCTCGCTGATGATCTTGGAGGTGGTGACGCTCACCTCCACCCCATCCACCACGAACTTGCGCGTGCGTTTCAGGGTCTTCTTGTGCATCTGGGAGTCCTGGTGTGGGCAGGAAGGAGAGGAGGAGCCCGTGAAGCAGCTCCCCAGGGCTGCAACAGCTGGGCTGGAGCCCTCAGAGCACTTTTAATGCCGTTGTTCATGAGAAACGTGCACAAGGAATCCACAAGGAGCACAAAGCATCAGTGAATTTGGAGATCCAGCCTGGCTACCAAACCACAGAGCAGCAGGACTTCCACACTGAAGAAACCCAACCCACCTCCCAAAGACCCCTCCTCACATGATCTAAAATGGCTTACTCCCTGAAAAAACCAAAAAAACTCCTTTCTCCTTCTAGAGGACCAACTCAGAGAGCAAATCTACGTGTGGCATTGTATTCCTCCTCCTGGAGGAGACCAGGTGTCCTGGAAAGGTCACGAGGAGGGGGGAATTCCTGTGCAAGAGCATCACATTTCCAATCATTAGGGACTGCAGGCTCCTCTGGGGGATGTTGGTTCTCCAGCTCCCAGCAGGAGGTGGGGAAAGTTTTGCCAAGAAAGGTTTTTAGGCACGTTTCCTTGCTGGGAAGTTCTCACTCATGCAGACAACGTGACAAAGATCTTGTGCAACACATCCCTCTGCCCCCTCCAGTCACTGCAGTTCTTCTAGAGCTCAGCAAATACTATTCCCGTTATTTTGCCTCTTCCTCTAAGCCCTGCTGACCTGGGCAGCTCCAGGTCAAGCATCCCCAGCCTCCAGGAGCTCTGGCAAAAGCCAAGAAGCCTGGGAGGTCTTTGTGCAGTCACTGCTGACACAAACCAGGCCAGATGTGGGGCAGGCTGGGAAAACTGAGAGCACAGGCCCAGATGAACTTTTCCCTGGGATCGAGTGTTCCAGGGAAGAGCAGCAGAGTGATGGACCATGGGTAAAGTTTAGGAAGTCCCATTTGGGGTTTCACACTAGAGCAAGGACAGGGCTCATGGTGTGGTTACTTCACCCAAAATAGACACAAATCATCAGACTTCCCCTGATTTCAGTGTCCTGGCACAGAAGAGGACACATGAACCTTCAGCAGCTCCACCAAGAGCTTCTCCTTCACTTGAGGACACATCCCCCTGGCACAGCTGAACCCGGCTGGGACAGGCAACATGGAAAACAAACCCTGGAAAACTTTCCCTAGGGAAGGGTTCCTCCCTCCTCCACGTTCTGCAGCACCCTCTGGCACCACTCTCACCTTGAGGGAGATGGAGCCGCTCTCCCTGTTGAGGGACAGGTCAGCAGACAAGGAGATGGTGAGGTCCATGCTCTCGGAGGCCGAAGTGCTGCCCGAATCCGAGTCCCTTTTGGAGCGGCTGCCAGGGAACGGCCCCAGGGGCTCCAGGCTGCCATTGGCCAGCTTCTCCTCGCTCAAGTTCTCCAGGAGAACACTCTCTGGTCGCTCCACGATGCTCTTCCTCTCCCCGATGCTCTTCCTCTCCCCAGTGCTCTTCCTCTCCTCAAGGCTCTTCCTCTCCTCCTTGCCCAGCCTTGGCTCCTTGTTCCCCTCCGTTGAGTTACCCAAATGTCCTGGCTGCAGGATGATGTCCGGCTTGTCCTGGGTGCCCGAGGAGGCCGAGCCGGGTTTCGAGGAGTGGTTGCTCTCCAGTTTGTCATTGTCACTGCTCATCCTTTTATCCGAGACTTTGTGGCTCTGGGCCTCTGTGGGGTCCTTGCCGGTCCCCACGGAGCCGTTCCCAGCTTTGGGCAAGTCCGGAGGTTTCTCCCCATCAAAGCTCAGCTGGCTCACCTCGGAGGGGTCCCGCTTGTGATTCCCAGGGGGCTGCAAAGACAGGGGAGGGCACATGTTGGGTTTGGCACCACCACTTGACACAACTGCACGGGCTACAAGGCTCCTCCTTCAGAAAAAAGTCACCCTGAACCAAACACTCAGTGGGAGGGGATTTCCCTTTTAGGACATCTGCTCTGGGGTGCTTCCATCTTTCCCCAGGTTTGTGGCCCCAATGACTACGGATCCTGGGTGGGAGGCAGGGGAATGAGAATGATGAAAAAGCCCCAGAACCTGCACGTCCTTAAGAGGCAGATGAGGAATTTGCACACCAAACTCATTTTCTCATGGATAACTCCACTATGGATGAGCCACTTCCCTCTGTGACAGAGGAGGGAGGTCGAGATGTGACCCCCAGCAGCTCTGAGATGTCCCCTTCAACGAGCCAGATCTGCCCAGCTCCCTCCTCAGGCTGGTGGTCCTTCCATGTGCTGCTTTTCTTCCACTCCAGCTTCTCCAGCCTACATCAGGGCTTATTTTCTTTTTTACCATTCTCCTTTTGTTTTTAACCACTTTCCATGTGCCCCTCCTGTGACTGGGCACAGGGCCACCCCCCAGCACCACTCTGCCCTTGGCAGCCACCAAAATCCAGCCCCTCCCTGCCATGTAACCACTTCCCCCTCCACCTGCTGTGGCCCAGAAGAGATTTTGGAGTCTGGAAAAGTTGCCAGGTTCTTTCCCCCCAGCACAGCCAGAGTGGTGAAGCTGCTCACCGAGGCAGAATCCAAGGAATCATCCTCCTCTGCTTCATCCCGACTCTCCTCGATCTCCTCCATCACCTCAGCCTTGGCCTCGGCCACCAGCTCCCGTAGGGCCCTGTTGCTGGTGACCTTGCTGACAAAGGGATGCTGAAAAACCAAGCACAAATGAAAAATATGAGCTGGACAAAATCACACCTCATGAGCTCCAGGATGACTTTTGGCTTTCAAGGACCTGAGGGTTTGGTTTTTTTGCAGTGTCACTGGGATTTACCCCCAGAGGAATTCACAGGGGAGAAGTGGGGCTGGGGTTCAGGGCACATTCTGCACACAGATGCTCCCCAAAACTGCTTTATGGCAGAACTACCCCCCCCCAAAAAAAGCAGCAGCATTTAAAGAAGGGGACATGTGCCCACAGAATGTCACCAGGAGCAGGGCAGGAGCAGTCTGCAGGATCCCTGGGAGCAAAGAGAGCCTTGGGGAAGGTTTAATTGGAATGGGGCTGGAATAACTCAGTGCTCACAGCAGGGTGTTGGTGCTGAGCTGCAGCAAAAGTGTGAAGTCCCTGGGCTCAGACAGTGAGGGAGCTGCAGCCAGCAGGGAACCAGTTTTTTGCTGTGATTTTGGGAAGGGACAAGAGGAAAGGAATTGAATTTCAGTCAGGGCTAACCAGGTACAGCCCGAGCTGGCTGCCACATGGGCGTTTTCAGGCAGCAGGAGCAGTTTCTGTTCCAGATGGTGTCCACAGGGACTCAGCAGGTTGCTCCAAAGGGAAAAAAAACACTGCTGATCCTGTTTTGGAGCATTTTAGTGGCTGAAAAGTGCTATGAGCTTTCTAAAGAAGATAGAAATAATCTGAAACCAGTCTGGGGTCACTGCTCTGGTCCCTACCTCCAGCAGCTGGGCAGCGCTGGGCCGCGTCTCCGGGTTCTTGTCCAGCGCCTTCTTCAGGAAATCTCTGAACTCCAGGGACCTTAAACACAGCTGGCGGTGAGGAATTCAGCAGAGGAAAGGCCTCAAATAGCAGAGGGATCAGCCTGATCCCTCAGCAGCTTCTGTCCCAGCTCGCAGGCAGCATTTTGCTCCCCTGGGAAAGGCACTCAGTAATTCTGGATATTTGGAGGAGGAGCAGCAGCAGGGCAGGGCAGGGAGCAGTTCTGAGCTGTGCCCAGCCGCAGGGCCAGGGCAGAGGCAGGACACAGCAGCTGTGCCCTAAAGGGACAAAAGCAGAGCCCCGCTGGGGAAGGGCGGCTGGGAAGGAGCAGTAACCCCATAGAGGGCACCCTCATCCTGCAAAGCGCAGCTCGGAGCTCCAGAGCCCTGATGGCACCTCCGAGCAGCTCCAGAGGCAGTTCCCACCCTGCCTGCTGCCTGGGACAGCCTCTGGCACTGCTGGCACCACGCTCTGAGTCCAGTGCTCGGCCAGGAATTTGCTGCTGGCTGACCTGCAGCAATTTTTGTGGAGAAAGAAGAGAAGAGAAAGAGAAGAGAAAGAGAAGAGAAAGAGAAGAGAAAGAGAAGAGAAAGAGAAGAGAAGAGAAGAGAAGAGAAGAGAAGAGAAGAGAAGAATAAAATAGAATAAAGTGAAGTAAAATAAAGTAAAAGAAAAGAAAACAAAACAAAACAACTAAATTAAATACACTAAAATAAAATAAAATAACTAAATAAATAGAATAGGACAGAATAAAATAAAACAGAATAAAATAAAGTAAAATAAAGTAAAATATAATAAAGTATAAAATAAAATAAAATAAAATAAAATAAAATAAAATAAAATAAAATAAAATAAAATAAAATAAAATAAAATAAAATAAAATAAAATAAAAAATTAACTGGCTAGTTTTATTTTACATGCAGAAGTGGCTTTCCAGACTTCAGGGAAAGCAATTCTGGAGCTCTTGGCCATCTTCAGCTTTAGAGGAAAATCTGCCTTTCATACACACGGGTTGTTTTGAGAGCAGCCATGGTGTCACCCCTGGCTTTGGGGGCTCTTTGGGTGAGGAGCAGCTCTCCCTGTGCTGCCTGGACACCGTGAGCACACCGTGAGCATCCTGCCTTACACCTTACATCCACACAGCTGCACCTGGAGCGCAGCTAAACCCGACTCCAGTGAGAGAGAGCTGCTAAAAGCTCCTGGTTTTCCTGTGTGGGAGCTGGGAGGTGCCCCCTGTGCTGCCCCCTCACCATTTGGAAGGGCAGCTGAGCGTGGGCGGCTCGGACTTGGCGATCTTCAGCAGGACCCTCATGGGGTTCAGCTCATGGTGGGGTGGCTCAATCTGGGCCATCTCGATCAGGGTGATCCCCAGGGACCAGATGTCAGCCTTGTAGTCGTAGGGAGTGTCCTTCATGGTCTCACACATCACCACCTCCGGGGCCATCCTGCGAAGGGCACAGCAGGGCCGGGCTGAGGCCGCGGCACTTAAACGCTTCAAATAACCCACAGCGCTGCAGGAAGCGCAGCTTTGCCCCCCAGCCCCGGCTTGCAGAAGCAGCAGCATCTTTTCCACAGGGTGCAAGCCCTGTCTCCTCCTCAGAGCAGCCAGACAGCCCCTGCAAACCCCCAGGCCGTTGACATCTGGCGCGGATGTTGCTCCAGAGCATCAATTAATCCCCGCAATTCCCCTCCTTCAGCAAGTCGGGTGATTTAGAGGTTGTGTTTCTGAGGCAGGGACTCGTTCCCATGTGCTTGGAGTGGCTTCAAAGCCCATCCCAGCCCCGGGGTGTGGGGAGCAGGGAGAGCACACTCGTGTGTCCCTCGCTCCAAGCCTGGAGCACCGTGACCCCTCTGCTGGCTCTGCTGAGCTCCCACACCACCGAGGCTGCTCACAGCTCTGCTCGGGCAAGGAAAACCCTTAAATGTCAAGAAAATGGCCAAGAATCCTCATTAAAACCCTCCCACCTTAAGGCACCGCGGTCCAACACACCCAAAGCCGTCAGAGCCAGCTTAATCTGATTTTCAGGATTTCTCAGCAAGCAGGGACTCACCAGTAAGGGGTCCCAATGAAGGAATCTCGCTTCTGCAAGGTTTTCATGTTCTTGGCAGACACTCCAAAGTCAGCTGCAAAGAGCAGGAACATTAGAGGCCGGAGGAAAACTGAAAAACCCTTCTGAGTTAGCACATTTGGCTGAGACACAGGTTGGAAAGCCAACAGCACACAGTGAAGGCAAGAACGTGATACCACGGGCTGTGTCCTCCCAGCTGAGCATCAGGAATTGAACTTGGTTTGGGGTACATGACCCCCAGGATTTTCCTCTCCCATGTACTATAAAACAGGCACAACAACCCCCTCCTGCCAAACCTTACACGTTTAGGAGGAAATTGAGCTCTTTTCTGCAAACAAAAGCAGCTCCATGGCAGATTTCAGGACTTATTTCCTAGCAAAAAGCCTGATTTTACAGCAGAAAAACCAAAGTTCCGTTCCTTCTCTTCCCTCCAGCCACTGCAAGATGCCTCTCTCTGATTTTGTCCCTTCTGAGCTGAAGCGAACCCGAATGAAATTGCTCAGAGCTGCAGAGGGTACTGAGCCCACTGCAGGTGGGTTTGCTCTCCAGGACAGCCCTGGTGGCATCCTCTGACCAGCTCCTGCAGATAAATCCACCCTCTCCTCCCCCAGCAGGTCTTTGGGTGCCAATTTAACTCCAAAGCAGAGCGATCTGGCAAAGGAACCCCTTGGCAACCCTCCCCCTGTCACCACCAAACCTGCTGTGCAGATAAGAGGAATTCTTCCAGCTCCCAGCCGTGCCAACTGGCACCCTGCACAGGATGCTCAGCAGGCCAAAAGGCACAAAAATCAGGTTCAGAGAGGGATTAAACAAACTCAGGGGAGAAAAATCCATCAGGGGCCTGAGCGTGGCTGTGGCCTGGGGGCTCAGCACAGCACGCAGCTCCTTTTGCCTTTCTGTGGAGCAAAATCTTCCCCTCCTTGTCCTGCAGCTCCTTTTGCCTTTCTGTGGAGCAAAATCTTCCCCTCCTCATCCTGCTGCTCCTCTCAGGCAGCAGAGAAGCTCAATCCCTCCATCCCAACACACTCAGGAACATCCAAACCCCGCATTCCAGCTGGTTTTGGGTGAGCATGGAGTGGTGCCAGGGACTCACCGAGCTTGATGTCCCCATCCTGGGTGAGGAGCACGTTCCCAGCCTTCAGGTCCCTGTGGATGATCCTTTTGCTGTGCAGGTAGTGGAGAGCTTCCAACATCTGGCGGCAAATCACCTGGATCTGAGGCTCAGTCAGGCCCCGGTCCAGCTCTGCAGGGAGGGACAGAGATGTTAAACAGGACAGGGACAAAGTGATGCTCACCTGAGCAGCAGGAAAGCCCAGGTTGCCCAGCAGAGCATGGTAAAGTCGCTGTCCCTGGGTCAGAGCAGCAGGAGACAAAGGAAAGCAGCTTGTTAAGGTGATTTATTCCCTAAGCCATTAGAATTTCCACCTCTTGGAGCTGCTGGCTCATAGCTCCCTCCTGGGAATGCTCAGCTGAGGCCCTGGAACAGTGGATGAGGAAGAGGAGCCAGAAATGCTTGGGATGGGGTCTGAACTGCAGATTCCCTGACAATTTGGGAAGACAGACAAGCTGGGTCTCACCCAGCTGCTGAGAGAGGAGGGAGCTGCTGCAGGACAGCAGTGTCAAACACAGGCATGAACATCAGCAGCCCTAATTCCCCAGGGAACAGGGGAACCAGAAAATTATCCCTGCTGTGGGGAGGCACCCTAAACATCACGAGGGACACACCACTTCCCAAAGGAACACGATTTAAATGCTCAGCAGGGTTATTCCTGCCCACTGCTCTGAGCTGGTGTTTTGGGTAGCGCCAGTCCCAGAGTTCAGGGAGTGTTTGGACACTCTCAGGCACACGATGGGATTCTTGAGGCTGCCCTGTGCAGGGTCAGGAGCCAGATTTTGTGTGTCCCCTGAAGCTCAGGATGTTTTGTGATTCTGTGATTCTATTTCTGGTGCTTGCAGGGACAGGCGTGACCTCCCTGCTGAGCTCTGGGCCATCTCCACCACCCCAGCTCTGCAAAGCATCCCCCTCCAGATGGTCAGCATCTCCTGAGCTGCCCTGCCTCCCTCAGCAAGGCCCCTGCAGATCCCTCCTCCAGCAGAGCAGAGCAGGGCTCAGACAGCACCAGATGGGGCTGATGGAGGGACCCCAGAAACTGGGCCAGGAGTTAGTTCAAAGCAAGGATCTTAAGCACAGCCTGGGGCTGCTGGCTCAGTCACTTTGTCCCTCCTTTCCTCACCAGGAGCTCCCCTGCTCTGGGAAAAGCTGGTGATTTTTCACCCTGGCAAAAGGCAGTTCCAGCAGGTCACAGGTTTTGTACATAAGATTTTGAAGAGATCCCAGCTGCCAGTGGGGATGGGGAGGTGGAACAGGCAGCATTTCTGAAACTCTGAGATGTACTAATTCTGAATTTGCAAATTCTGGGAGCATTCCTGAGCTCCAGCTCCTCCTCACCCTCACTCAGGGCTCACAGAGCCACAGCCAGGCCACTCTCTCATGGTTTTCTATGCTGCCCCTTCCAGGTCCTGCAGAGACAATGCTCAGGAGCGTTTTTATGTCCCAAGAGATGGGTGAACCCCCTCTGCTGAGGTTTTCCACAGGGAAGGAAGGTTTCATTCCCCTCCAGCACTTCAGGAAAGGTATTTTTTCACCTAGTGACTTGGAGCCACTTTAAAGAAGTTCCCTAAAGGAGGTTTAAGAGCTGAGTTAAAGATGATAAATTTGATTCCTGGAAATAAAAAGAAAGTGAGGCCTTTGGAAAGATCAGGGCTGACAAGGAGTAACCCCCAGGGAGATGTGTCTCTGTCCCAGGGCTCTGGGCAGGGTGATGTCAGTGTCACATCTGCTGTGCAGAGGGGATGTCACCCCCAGAGCCAGGGCTCTTTTGGGGTACAGCCACCCATCCCTGCTCCCAGCAGCTCTCTCTGTGTGCAAGGGAGGAGTTAAAAAAGGGGAGATTGCTGGGATTGCTGCAAACTGCAGCTCATCAGAGCTCTGCTGCCTCACCAAACGATTGATACCGTATGGAGAAGTCAGCAGAAAGGTCTGGGGAAATTCATCTTGACAGGCGCCCAGCTTAAACTTCTCAGCCCTGCTGGGAGCTGTGGGAACAGGATCCCAACCAGCCAGTGCCCCCAGCAGGTAAATATTTAAATTCAGCTTTCCCCTGCAGCCAGACTCTCCCTTTTCCCCGTGCCTTGTGATCTGCCGATCCCAGCAGCACTGAAATCACAAAAGGACATTAAAAGTAGCTCAAAAACTCCCCACCTTCTGCTCAGGGTATGAAAATAGGCAAACTCCTGGGAGAGAAAGGGCAGCTGTGGCACCCACGCCTGCCATCTGTCTGAGGGCTGCTCCTGGGGTGGTGCCAGGGGGCTGGAAATGCCCCGTGGGCATCGCCCCTGGCACAGGGCACAGCTGCACTCACCCAGCATCGTGGCATCCACGGCCCCGCCAGGGCAGAACTCGATCATGATCTGGGGGAACAAAAGGAGAGTTAAAGCCAGGCTGAGTCTCACTGGGGAAAGGGAGGGAAGAGCAGAGAAAAGCTGGGTTTGATTCCCTGAGTGGCAGAGCTGTGGGAGCTCCCCAGGACACGTCCCTTGGGCTCTCCAAGGGTCTCCGAGCCCACACCCTGCCCAGCTCCCAGGGACCCTCCCGGGGCTGTGACACCCCCAGCAGACCCCTACCTGACCCCAGCAGCAGCTTCAGGATTTTGGGCTCCCCCTGTTTCCATGCCCTCCCCTGCCTTTGGGAGCTGCAGCAGGGTGGGATAACTGCGAGCTGACGTGGCTGTGAGACATCAGGCAGGATTTTCCCTGCCAAACGAGGGATGGGGAGGGCTCTTGTGTCTCCAGGGTAGGGTTAGTTTTTTTTTAACTATTTTTATGTCCCCACATTGCTCCGTAGTTCATTGCTCTCTCATTTCGAGCAGCTTGAGGGGAAACTGTGTCAATAAAGAGGGTGAGCACGTTCCCCAGATTTTGTCATTTTTCCCCAGGGATGTGCAGAGTCTTGCCAGCCCCACACACCCTTGCCAGGTCCCTGCCACCCCTCCCAGTTGCCCCCAGCACCTCAGGGATGCAGATCCTCTCCCCTCACCTCTGCACAGCATCACCCAGAGCTGCCCTGTGCTGGCCTCAGCTCCCCGCTCCCCTCTGGGGCTGCTCAGATAAACTGATTACAGCTCCAAGCAGCCAGGGATTACAAGGGACAAGAGATGCTTCACCTCTCCAACAAGCTCTTCTCCTTGTGGAGGTGACACAGGACATTCCAGAGTGGTGAAATGCCAGGGTTGAGTCCGAGGACAGCGCCTGAGCACTGTTTACCAGCTCAGCTCTCTAAACCCATCAAGAGAGGGTCACGTTGCTCAAAGCAGCTCCAAGCACTGGCGCAGGAGCTGAGGGGAGAAGGTTCAAGCTCCCTGTTTGCCATGGTTTGATTCTGCAGCTCCAGGAAAGCCACATCCCACCCCTCAGACCCTCTGCACGGGCAGGGGAAATGCAGTTTTCACCTGGTGGGAGACAACAGCTTCGTTCTGGAGAACAGCAGGAGCTGGGATGCAGCAAAGCTGGAATTGGAATCAGCCCAGGGCCAAGGAGTCAGAGAGGGGACAAACTGAGAGGTGGCACATGTGACAGAGCCACCATGGGAGGAGAGTAACCAGGGGTCAGGGCTGGGGGAGCATGTGAAACAGGCAGGTGGAGAGAAGAGACTGAGAAGACAATTGAACCCTTTCCAAACCAGGAGAACCAATCCCAGCTGGCACAGCTCCAGGTGGAAGTCTGGCAGCAGGGACGGGTTCAGCAGAGCATCAATGGGATATATCAACACTTTTGTGCTGTTTAATACCTTGAACCAGAGCATCAGCAGCTTCCTGAGCAAATGGAAAGGCAGGAATTGTCTCCTGCCATGGTCCCCCCAGGCAGAGAACTGCCCTGTGCCCCACTGTCACCCCAAACAGCTCCAGGAGCATCATTTCAAACCAGTATTTCTGTGGTGTCCCTCATCACATCCACCAGAGCACAATAAAACCAGCAGTGTCCACCAGCCCTTCCTGGGCTCCTCAGAGCAAACCTCACAGAATTCCAGTTAGGTTTGCAGTCTGGCAATGAGAAAATGAGGAGAATCAGTCCCTCTGGAGTGACCCTGTGTGTTTATCCAGGCACAGCAGGCTACAGCCGGGCACTGGGAACACGGAAAACTTCAAAATATGCATTTTCAACAAGGGCAGAGATGCCAAAGAATAATTCTGGGTGTGGCCAGATGGTCTGAGCAGCTAAAAAAATAACAAGCTCGTTCCAGCCCAAAAAAATCCTATTTAAACAAACACAGCTGGCAATCTCCCAGATCATCCTCCAAGCACACTTCCTACCAGGAGCAGGGCCAGCCTGGAGAGCGTTTTGCCATGGAGGGAGTAGGAAGGCAGGCCTGGGGACATCAGTGTGAGCTGGGAGCACCCACACCTTCTCCTGCGGGCTCTGCAGGGAGCAAACATCCCGTTTCTAATGATTTCCTGTGCACAAGAAATCCAGGGACTTCCTCACCCAAGGCAGCTGGGGGGACACAGGGTTCCTGTGCCACATCAGAGCTCCTACAGATCCACCATGGATGTTTTAGTCTCCAATCCTTTACAGCCACCCCGAAATTCATGGGTGGCTCCATTTCTGAGTTGGCTGAGCAACACGAGGGAGTGACAGCCACAGCCAGAGCCCCCAGCCCCAAATCACAGCCCAGCCCCCAGCCGAGGGACTCACAGCTCCAAGGGATGCTCTGGCTGCACACACAGGAGCAGGGCTGAAAGAGAAAGGAGCTTGCTCTCACTACCTCTGAAAACCTTTGTGACAGTTTAAATAAAAAGGGCCCTTTTCTCCTTCAACAAAACAAAAATGCAGAGGTCTGCATGCAGACACCACAAAATGTTTCCCTTTCAAAAAAACCTTTGCAACAGGCAACATTAAGTTGAAATTAGAAAGTGGAAGTCCACTCAAGTGAAAGGGCTTTGCTGGCCACCTCGATTTTTCCCACGGCTCATCTCAATCCTGTGTTAATCACAGCAGGATCTGGAAGCATTTTGGGTTTGACAAACCAGGACCAGCCCCTCCTGCCCAGGTACCAAGGTGGCACCGAGACCCAGCTCGCTCCTCCCAGCCTGGGCAGGACAGCTGCTGCCTCCTGGGTGTGCCTGGAACTTTCTACATGGCTAAAACAAAAAGGAAAACCACACACAAGAAGCTTATCTGGAAAGATAATTTCAGCAAGCACTGCCCAGCCGACGAGGGTGGGGCAGCTGTTGGCCCCAGCAGGGTTTGGCTCTTACTCAGCTGGCTGGGAGGGCAGTGCCCACCAACCTTCCCTGGCAGCACTGCAGAAAAACCTTTTGCAAGCAGAGAGGGACAGGGGGGTGGAAAACAGATGCCATCAGCTGGGAAGCTTTGGGCAGCTCCTGCCCAGGCCACCAGGTCCTCTCAGGGCTGCCAAGGCACTGCAGGTGAGGGCTGCCTGCCGGCTCCTGTGGGACTGTGCTGCTTGTGCAGTGCACCTTGAGGAGTTTGGGGTCACTGAGGTGCTCCAGAGCTCCTAGGGCCGTTCCTGTGTGGGACATCATGACATGATCCCCCCATCGTGACTGCAATCCCCAGGAGTTTGGGGTCACTGAGGTGCTGCAGAGCTCCCAGAGCTATTCCTGTGTGGGATATCATGACAAGAACTGCAATCCCCCGTGGGCACAGGGCCCTGCCTGTGCCCCCAGCATCCTGCTGCCCTCAGATCCACCCTGCCTGGCCCAAAAACTGCAGCAGAACTGAAAAACCTCAGTGATTTCCTCCCCAGGTCTGCAGCAGAGGGGCTCAGGCTGTTTGTGTGAGCAGCTGCTGGAAGCCACAGCATCCTGCTGCCACCTCCGGCACCCACGTGGCTCTGCCACGTTTCTGGGGCGGCTCTGAGGTGTCCTTGTCACCCACAGAGGAAAGCACCCCCCTAGCACAGCCTTGTGCTGGCACAGAGGGGCTGCAGAGATAAGAAAAACAAATTTGATAAAGGAAACCGCGCTCCACTTGCAGAGGGAGCTGGGGAAGGAAACGCTGTCAGGTTCCCTCCTTGCCACACATCACACCTGGTCCAGCTTCTCTCTATCCAGAGTGTGGAGCACAAAGTTCCTGGGGGTTTTCCAGTAATTTCCACCTGGGTGTTTTCCAGATTGGAGCAGGGCATGGAAAAGGAGTGTCACAGCTGGCCCCAGGCATGTTCAGCAGCAGAGGCCTCAGTCCTGCTCCACGTGGAGCAGGGACAGTACAGTGCTCCCTGGGCTGAGCTGGGATGGAGAAGCAGGAGAAGGAGCCAGATGTGCCCACAGGGGTGCCCAGCAGGGCAGGGCTTTCCTGGCATCACCCACTTACAGGAAAAGCAGAAAAACCAGCAGCTCCCGTGCTCCAGAGGGGCAGAAATCCTTCACATTCACCAAAAACACAGCAAATGGAAAAGGGAAAGAGCCAGAGAGAGCTGGGGGCCCTGGCTGCCTCCAGCTGGGCTGGTGCTGCACACAGGGATGAGCTGTGAGGGTGGCAGTGAGAGAGGCACAGAACAGTTTCAGGGACTCCCAGCTATAAAATCTCCCTGTTCCAGGAGCTGTCCTGGCATTCCCCAGGCTGCCTGGCCCTGCCCTCACCCTCTGTCCCCATCCCTGGCCCTGCCCTCGCTCTCTGTCCCCATCCCTGGCCCTGCCCTCGCTCTCTGTCCCCATCCCTGGCCCTGCCCTCGCTCTCTGTCCCCATCCCTGGCCCTGCCCTCGCTCTCTGTCCCATCTGTGTCCCATCCCTGGCCCTGCCTTGTCCCTGCCCGTGGTCAATCTGCTGAGCCAGCTCTGCTGTGAGCTGAATCCCACCTTTTTTTGGACCCTGCTTCCAAAGCCGCCTCATTTGGGAAGCAGCAGGTTCTGAAGGAACGAGAGGACGCTGCTCATGCTGGGCTACAGGAGCCAAGGGGGAAAGGTGGATTGTACAAAGCTGCTTTTTAGCCAGCAGCCCCTGCTTTTCCATAAGGAGGTTACCCCAAGGGAGAGGTGGATCCTCATCCCGCTGCAGTGGCACTCGTGGCAGGGAGGTGCAAGGCCCAGCAGCACACACAGGACATGTCCCCCGGCCTGGCTTCAGCCCTGGGGAGCAGAGCAGCTGCAGAGCCCCTCCCCACCCTGCTGTCCCTCCCAGAGAGCCCCCAGCCCCTCGGGGGGAGCTTGCCAAGCTCCCTGGGCCACCACTGATGCAGGTGAAGGTTTTGGCCTCCAGATCTGGTGCCACCCTTCCTCCGCCAGGCACCAGCCCAGTGCCTTCCTCCTGCTCCTCAGACACAGGCAGGACACCTCACACCATGGCCAAGCAGGAGGAGCCCCCCAACACAAAATATCCCTTGCCTCTGGCACAGGCACAGCATTTCCCTTCAATTTCCCTTCAGTGCAACGAGCTCGGGACAAGAGCAGGGC